GGGTTACAGGATAAAGATGGATTACGGACGCTGATTTCCAGCTCAGGGGCAGTCTGCACTTTCCTTATTTCTTCTCAGAAAGACCCTGGACCCTCCCCCACCCCTCATGGCCAGCCTGGAAGCCCAGGGAGTGGGGTTGGGGGAAACCTAGATTTTTCCCATGGATCTTTCCTTGTTCACGTGAGCCTGAGATGTGAGAACCTCCGGGACCTCCCTGTTTATCTCCCAGCGTCGAGATCTCTAACCCCTCAGCGATGTGTTCACCCCCTCCCTCCCTCCCCGCTCGCTGGGAGCGGTGAGTCACAGCCGGAGATGTGTTTGAACAGAGCGAGAGGCCGCCTATAATTTGAAGGTGGCTGGGCCTCTCCCCAGGACTGTTTGTGAGGTTAGAGGCCGCTTACCTGGTGATTAGCTCCGTTCCTTTTCCCCGGGAGAAGAAGGCTGCACTCTGTATCCTGCCCTTCAGAGAATCCCCCGTGGGGAACACCCTGCTAGACTTTGGGGGCCATTCCTAAAGTCCCGGGCTCACCCTAGCCCCAGAAAACAACCAGGGCCACCAGGCAGAGGGCCCGGGTCTCCCTCCCGGACTCGGTTGGGGTTGTGCAGTGAGGTCTGGTGGCCTCGCTGCCTGGCTTCTCTGATTTTGGAGGATGAGGTGCCAGAGAGGTCCCTAGATTTATTCACAGGCTCCATTGAGACAGTGTGTCTCACTTTTTCTTCCCCCTCCCTCTCCCCCTGCCTCCCCTCCCCCGGCACCCCCTCCGGCCCTCCTCCCTTGCTCCTTAGGAAAGCAAGGCTGTGATTTATGGTTTGCACAGCACTTTCACACTGTGTCTACACATGTCCCTGCCTGCCCAAAGGCAGGGCGGGTATTATCATTCCCATTTTGCAGATAGGAAACTGAGGCCCAGAGAAAGAAAGTGATTTGCTAAAGGATGAAGAGCTGTCCGTGAGACTCCAATCTCGCCTCTGAGTCCCAAGTTTGGTTCTGTCCTCTTGTTAAAAAATATATATTTAACTATAGGAGTGCTGCATAAATACATTTTTGTTGCTCCTTTATATTCTATAGCTCACTTTTTCTTTTATTTTTTTAACATATTTTATATATATATATATATATATATATATATATATATATATATATATATATCTTATTGATTTTTTTACAGAAAGAAAGAGAGGATTAGAGAGTTAGAAACATCGATGAGAGAGAATTATGGGTCAGCTGCCTCTTGCACACCCCTACTGGGGATGTGCCCGCAACCAAGGTACATGCCCTTGACCGGAATCGAACTTGGGACCTTTCAGTCCGCAGGCCGACACTCTATCCACTGAGCCAAACTGGTTTCGGCCTATAGCTCACTTTTTCACTTAAAGTTAATTTTGAAATTCATGGCGATAGAGTAGCTGCAGTTCGTTTACCTTCACCGCTGAATGTCATTGTACCGACACCCCAGAGCTGATTCATGCATCCGCCTGTCGGGGACCATCTGGGTTGCTTCCAGTGTTCTGCCATTGCAAGCAATGCTGCTGGGAGCACACTTCCACACATCTTATGTTGGTACTTCCTCCATCTGTACGTCTGTAGCATCGTTTTTAACTCGCAGTTTCTTGATTACTAGTAAGGTGGAGCATCTTCTCCATATATCCATTAGTCATTTTTACTTCTTCTTAGAGCTGCCTTTGCTCATTTCCCCCCCTGACCTCCCCCTCCTCTTTCCCCAGTACTTCACCACATGTGTCAAACACAAGGCCCGCGGGCCAAATCCGTCCCGCCAAGCCTTGCAATGTGGCCCGCACCGCGCTGTCATCACTGCACTCCGCTGCGTTTCCATCACAATGACAGTTTATGACTGTTCAGTAAACCATTCGGCCCGCGATTTAGGCTGGATTTTAGATTTTGGCCCCTTCTCTGATTGAGTTCGACACCCCTACAACCCGAGGGCTCCGGGCTTCTCACCTGGAACACGTTTTCCAAGTGCCCGCTCCAGCCAAGCGTTGTGCTAAGGATAAGCTCTCCTTGTCAGGAACTTGGGATTTTATTGGCGGAGATGGTTGAATGCGTAGTTAAGGGAGGAATGAGGCGGGTCCGTGGGAACAGTGGGGGATGCAGGGACCAGGCTCTGGCGAAGGAGGGCTGGGGTAGGGCCTCCAGAGAAAGGAGCCCCAGGCTGAGCTAGGAAGGCCGAGTGGGAATTTTTCAAGGAGGCGAGAGGGAGGAGGGGCCCCAGGAGGAGAAAACAATGCATGCACCTGTGGGGAGGAGGGAGCGTGGGCTGCATTAGGAGACTGACCGAGAGGAGGAGAGCTTTGGATTGGACACCTTTCTACACTTGGGTTAGGAAAGTTTGGGAAAGTTAGAGGGTAGGGTACAGTGGGAGGCTGGCGGGAGCCACGGCACCATGTGGTATAGACAGTGATGGCCCCATCGTGAGGTGACTTAAATGCCACCTTAAGGGGTATTTCATTTTTGTCTGCCTTTTTTTTTTTTTTTTTTTAAAGCATTCTATTTAACAATAACAATAAAAGTGCACACGTCCTAAATGTACAGTCAAGCAGTTTTCACACACTGGACCCACTCTCTCAACCAGCACCCAGATAAGAAACAAGTCATTGTCAGCAACTGCAGAAGTGTCCCTCTTGTCCCTTTATCGGCATTCACTGCTCTCCACCCTGAAGGTAACTACTGTCCTGACTTCTAAAGCTCGTTTTCATTTTGCTTGTTTTTATACTTTTTATTTTAGTGGAATCATGAAGTATACTTTGGTGTCTGGATTCTTTTCTTAATATTACTGTGAGGTTTATGCATGTTGCATGTATAGTACTTTTTTTTTTTTTTTTTTTAGAAATCAGCTGCTAGCCGAAACTGGTTTGGCTCAGTGGATAGAGTGTCAGCCTGCTGACTGAAAGGTCCCACGTTTGATTCCGGTTAAGGGCATGTACCTTGGTTGCAGGGCACATCCCCAGTAGGGGGCATGCAGGAGGCAGCTGATCGATGTTTCTCTCTCATCGATGTTTCTAACTCTATCCCTCTCTTCTTCCTCTCTGTAAAAAAATCAATAAAATATATTTAAAAAAAATAAATCAGCTGCTTTTTAAAATATATGTTTGTTTTTTTTTATTGCTTTCAGAGAGGAAGGAAGAGGGGGAGAGAGATAGAAACATACCTATAGTGAGAGAATCATTGATTGGCTGCCTTCTGCAAGTCCCCCACTGGGGATCGAGCCCACAACCTGGGCATGTGCCCTTGACCGGAATCGAACCTGGGACCTTTTGGTTCACAGGCCGATGCTCTATCCACTGAGCCAAACTGGCTAGGTCAGTGATCGGCAAACCTCGGCTCGCAAGCCACATGCAGCTCTTTGGCCCCTTAAGTGTTCTAACGCCACTTCTTCAAAATAGACTCGCCCAGGCTGAAAGCCGACTTCTGCGCGTGGGCCACGAAGTTTCAATCGCACGGTATGTGCCCGCCTGCACATGGTATTTTGTGGAAGAGCCACACTCAAGGGGCCAAAGAACTGCCTGTGGCTCTCGAGCCACAGTTTGCCTACCACTGGGCGAGGTCTACTTCATTCTTTCTCTTGTACAGAGTTCCATTGTATGGCTATGTCAAAATCACCCATTGTACTCTTGATGACTATTAGGGTAATTTCTAGGTTTTGGCTATTAAAATGCCATTATGAAGGTACTAGTATATGCGTTTATGGGGAACACATGCAGGCATTTCTATCGGGAGGATAACCAGGTGTGGAATTGCTGTATCACAGGGTATGCTTATGTTCCTCTTTGGTGGATTTCCCACAGTGATTGTGGCAACGAGCAGTCCCACTGCCAGCGTATGAGAGTTTTTATTATTCCAAATCCCCCACCGTGTGGGGTTTTTTCTTTGTTTTCATTCTCAGGGGTCATTCGTACTATTATCTTGTTGTTCTGGTTCTTTGATGATGATGATGAATGAGGGTGAATCCTTTTTTCATTGACCATTTAATATCCTCCTATGTGATGTGTTTATTAAATTATTTTGTCCATTTTTCTGTTGAGCACTCTCCCCCTCTCTCTCTCCTTCCCTCCCCCACCCCTTTCTCTCTTAAAAGTACTTTAAAAATTTTTTTGGAATCATTTTATATTTAGAGAAAAATTACAAAGATAGTACAGGGGATTCTTATATGTTTTTCACCCAGTTTTCCCCAATCCTTTTTTTTTTTTTTTTTTAATAATATATTTTATTGATTTTTACAGAGAGGAAGAGAGAGGGATAGAGAGTTAGAAACATTGATGAGAGAGAATCATCGATCAGCTGCCTCTTGCACACCCCCCACTGGGGATGTGCCCGCAACCAAGGTACATGCCCTTGACCGGAATCGAACCTGGGACCTTTCAGTCCGCAGGCTGACGCTCTATCCACTGAACCAAACCAGTCTTGGCAGTTTTCTCCAATCTTAACGTCTGACACAGCCATGGCAGATTTGGTGTACAGGCAGGAATCTGCTTCTTCCTTTGAAATGAGGCTGATCTCCAGGTAAATACCTATTGTCTTGCCTTCTTTCATTTGGACAATTTCTGTGTGGCTTATAGAAACAGGCATTTGGATTCGGATACCTTCCTATAGTTTGGTTTAGGAAAGATATCCTGGTCTTGTAAAATATATCAGTAACTTCTTGGTTGGCTGTCAGGTGCAGAAGATCTGGATTGGAGGTGACCCATCCAGGGATGCCCTCTCCAGGGGAAAAGGGAGTCCACGCAATGCGCGTCCTGTAATCTGAGGACCAGGGTGGCCCCTCTGGAGCCGCATGGGGCTGTGTGCTGTGAGCGGTGCAGGGTGCTGTCAGAAGTCCCAGGGGCAGCCTGCCACACTGAGGTGGCCTGATCCTGGGCGAGCTGATGTCACCCCTCCAGACCTCAGCTTTTCTCGCCTGTGAAATGGCGATCATAAGGCCCACCCCACGGGGCCGTCGTAGACCGGAGATAAAGGTTGTTGTTGCTATCATTGTCATTATTAGGGCAGCATGGACATTCTCAGGCTGACTCTCCAGAGTGAACTGACAGGAGATGAACTTGAACACATAGCCCAGAAGGTACGGAGGTCTCTGGTGGGGTGAGGCCTCCTCCCCTCAGCCAGTGCTCCTCCCTCGCCGCGGACCCCTCATTCCATTGCTGCCTGGGAAGCACTTCCTTTCCAGCACACCCCGCTGCCTGCAGCATGCGCTGCTTTGGAGGATGGGGAGACCCCACTAAAACGGAAACTAACCTGCAGTTTCTACTAATGCTCTCCGTCTGGTGTTCTTGCTGCTGTGTGGCTTCTGGTAGAGGTTCTGGAATGGATGTTTGGAGGGAAAGTCAGACTAATGCTTCACGTCTTCGGAGGAGCAGGTTGTCTGCATTGGTCAAGGTGCAGAAGTTCTGGGCTTGCCATATAGTATCTGAGCTTCTCTCTCTCTCTCTCTCTCCCTCTCTCTCTCTCTCTCTCTCTCTCTCTCTCTCTCTCTCTCTCAGGCGGGCAGGAAGACCTATGCCATGGTGTCTGGCCACTCACCCAGTCATTCTCTGGCCTCAGAACTGGTGGAGTCCAACGATGGACATGAGGAGATCATTAAGGTAAGCTCAGTTCACCCTCCACTTCCTCTCCCTCCATCCTTTCTCCCTCCTGCATGGGAGAGGCAGCAAGGCTGACTTTGCCAAAGGGAACTTCCGGTTTGACTAGGAAGAATTGGACCTGGGATGCTAGCTCCCGATCATCTCCTGGAAAAATCTTCATTGACACCACGAGACCAGTCAGTCTGTAGTGACTTGGATGCAGTCTGGCCCCGGACACAGGGGATGGATGGGATGACCTTCCTTGGTGTCTGTTCACTGACTGCGCTTAGGGTTGGAGGATGGACACAAGTGGGAGGAAGGGAGATAAGAGGGAACTTAGTTTTAATAATTAAAACAATTTTTGTGATTTCTTTTTATTTATTAAAAAAAGTTTTTAAAAATTTATTTGAGAGAGAGAGAGAAACACATTGATGTGAGAGAGAAACATTGATCAGTTGCCTCCCAAACATGCCCCAACTGGGAATTTAGCCCGCAACCGGGCTATGTGCCCTGACCAGGAATCGAACCCGCCATCTTTCCGTGTACAGGACGATGCTCCCACGTAGCCACACTGGCCAGGACTTTGATTCCTTTAAAGTGTTCAGTGGTATTTAATATATTCACAGAGTTGAGCCACCAACATGACTATTAATACCAGATCACTCCTTCCAGCCCCTGGCAGTCACTACTCTACTTTCTGTCTTGATGGATTTGTCTCTTCTAGACATTTCATGGAATAATACAACAGGTGGCCTTTTGAGCCTGGCTTCTTCCACTTGGCATATTCTTAAAGTTTAGCTATGTTGTAACATATGTCAATATGTTCAAGTTATGCATGGCCCTTAAAGAAAGTAAAACTACCCTATAATTCTGTCAATGTAATTATTGTTAACAAACACTTTATTGTATATCTTCCCAGACATTTTTATATACATATGTTTGTTTTCCCCCCAAAAAAAAACATAGAATTGACTAGCCGGTTTGGCTCAGTAGGTAGAGCATCAGTCTGCTGACTGAAGGATCCCGGGTTCGATTGTGGTCAAGGGCACGTTCCGTGGTTGCAGGGTTCTCCCCGCCCCTGGCTCTGGTCAGGGCGTGTGCAGTATGCAACCAATTGATATGTTTCTGTCTTCCCCTCTCTCTTCCTCTCTCTCTCTATAAAAGTCAATGGAAAAATATTCTTTGGTGAGGATTAAGACAACAACAAAACAGAATTGTATTATATACTTTATATTTGCTTGCCTCCTCCCCCCTGCCTATTTAATTGTAGTTTGTACCATCTTCGTGTCCATAAATATAAATATCTGGTATTCTAATGGCTGCATAGTATTCTGTTAAGATACCGTAATTTATTTATGTAATTTCCCATTGTTAAGACACTTGTCTGTTTATATTTTTGCAGCCATAGACAGCATTTTGCTGGACATGTTGCTAAATTGTGTGTCTTATATAACACAAGTAATGAACATTTTCTCAATTGTAAAGGATTCAAGCATGTTCTGTAGAGAAAAACGTGTAAATTCCCTTTATAACTCTCTTTCCATGAATTTATATATGAATGATTATGCCAGTTGAGCTAAACTTATTTCATTAGGCCAAATTTCCAGGAGTAGATTTGACAGGCGGAAGAGTAAATGTAGTTGTAAGTCTTCTGATCTGAATCACCAAATTGCCACCCAACAAGGTGTAACCGTTTACCCTCCCAGCAGCAGTGTCTGAGGCCGCCTGTGGCACTAAGGTGACTGAGGTTTCTTAGCTAAGCAGCGTGGTCCTCTCTGTTCCAGGTGTACTTGAAGGGGAGGTCTGGAGACAAGATGGTCCATGAGAAGAATATTAACCAGTTGAAGAGTGAGGTCCAGTACATCCAGGAGGTGGGCACCCCTTCTCTCGGGGAGATGACCATGGTCTTTTCTCTAAATCTCACACTTTTGGGCTCTTTTGTGGGTTCTGATTTTCTCCCTTCTGCTCTCTGCATGTCTCTATAAAGTGCCACTGTGCCCAGTCGTATGTTAAATATCACTTCTGACCCTTCTAGTAATCAACAAGTACTTAATAAACGCTATGTGCCTAGCGTTACACACACACACACACACACACACACACACACACCCGGCCATTCTATCTAGAATTGCCAGCATTGCTTTCCCAGCTTCTCCTCACCCTCACCCTGTCTCCATGTCACTTGTTTGGTTTTGGTGTTGTGTGTCTTCCCCAACCAGAATGTTAGCTCCAGGCCAGGGGTTTTGCTGATTTTGTTGTTTGTGTAGAAGGCACTGGGCTTTAGCCCCACTTGACCAAGAGACTCTCCTCCCCCAGCCAGTGCTTAACGCAGGGCCTGACTCCTAGGGGTGCAGTGGGGGATGGGCACAAAGGTGGTTGGGTTGGGTGCTCTCTTCCTCTATCCCAAGGCTGAAGCTCCTTGTCTGTCCTCCCCTCCCAGGCCAGGAGCTGTCTGCAGAAGCTCCGGGAGGATATAAGCAGCAAGTTGGACCGAGATCCAGGCGAGTCTCACCATCAACAGGAGATACAGGTAACAGGAAATGATCTGTGGTTGGGTCCCGACTGAGGAGGTGTGGTTCTGCCAGACAGTCCTGTTTACCAATTGTGCGGTGGGTGCCCAGTGTAACACCATTGCCAGGAAAGGAGAGAATGCAGGTGATGCTGGCTTCTCCAGCCTTGATAAGACATCTCAGCCCCTTATCAGTGCCCCTGTTCCTAAGACACTGCCCCCAAATGGGACTGACATCAGTAAAATTATTGTTCACTTGTTGGCAAACGCTCTTACCTCTAAGGATTCTGTGATCCATCTTCTCGTGGTACAGAGTCTGATGAAGCAGACAGTCACCTATAAATCCAAACTGATAAGTTGCTCTTGCTCAATCCGGGTGACTCCTGTTGTGTCATCTGGAACCTTGTCTGTTACTCATCGGTGTATGTCGCTACCTCTGTCCTTGAGGGGAAGCTCCTCAAGGTTTAGGGTTGACCTCTGTCTCCACTCCCCTCACCCTGCACAGGGGATGGGGTGCAGAAGGTCATCGGTAAATGTGTGTTCAATGGAACTGATTGGAGAGGCCTTCTGGGGTAGATAATCCTGGGATCCTGCTTTTTAGATTTTCTCAAATTGGAGGGTAGAAATGTCTCAGGAAGCAAACTTCACACACATGCACGCACGCACGCACGCACACGCACACGCGCGCACACACGTTAGATTCTAGGCTGTCTCTCCTTCCCTTGCGTTTGGTTTGGGTGGGTGGTCTTTCTTCGGCAGCCCCTGTCCTCATTGTCCTGAGGGGAATCGTGACCTGGCAGCTAGTGCCAGCGGAGTTCCTCTCTGGCTTGGGCGTGCACTGGCTGCGTGGCCGATTCCTCCTAACGCATTTTGCCTTGGTGAAGGTAGGACTTCGGCTGCCTGAGCTGTTTCTGGGAGGGCCTCCCGTCAGGTGACTGAAGAACATAAGTGCTCAGAGACTGGCCCAGAGGTCCAGGCCCCTTGTTCTCACAGCCAGCAGTCATATGATGAAGGATCAGGTGTGGGGTTGGAAAGGATGGCAGCTAATGCTCCATTCCCCTTTTGATTTATGGTTTGTCAAACCTTGTCAAGATCCCTGAGGGGCAAGGGCAGTGGTTTGAGGCAGGCAGCTGCTTGTACTCCCTGGGCTGCCAGGCATGGACCTGCATGTTTTCCAGTCCTTTGAGAGTTGTTAGACTGAGCTTTCCTGCATCCTCCCTACAAGCTAGAGCATTCCCTCTCAAGGTAGCACACACCTCCACTTCTCTCCTTCCATTTTCCCACACAGCACTGGTCTCCCTTCCATTCCATTCCATTCCATTCCCTTCTCCCTTCCCTTCTCTTCCCTGCTCCCCCCCTCCACTCCTCACCTTTTCTCTCCCTTCCCTTTCCTCCTCTTCCTCTTCTCAATCTCCTTGTCTGTCTGTCTATCTATCTACCCTATTTCCCCGAAAATAAGACAGTGCCTTATATTAATTTTTTTCTCCCAACGTTGCGCTAGGTCTTATTTTCAGGGGATGTCTTATCTTATCATGCGCTAGGTCTTATTTTCAGGGGATGTCTTATCTTATCATGCGCTAGGTCTTATTTTCGGGGAAGCTCGGTATCTATCTATCTGTCTATCTAAGATTTGAGATCTTAGAAGAATAATGTTTTGAAGTTTGTTACTTGGGACTGTTTTACCTACCAGTTTTTGTATTTTTTTCTTTCTCCTTTTGAACAGGTGGTGCTAGAGAGACCAAACGGTTTTAGTCAAAGTCCCAAGACGCTGTATAGCAGCCCACCTGAGGTAGGTGACGAGGAAAACATATTCTCCTCTCTGACCCCTTTAATTATTGCTTTCTCTCTCACTCTGCACCATACATGAGTAGAACTAACTTGCTATAAAAACTTAAACATATAAAACAAAAATTCCTCTTCCCTAATCCCACTCCTTGGAAGTATCCACTGTTAACAGATTGAAATGGGTGGATCCTTCTAGAACAGTGCTGCTTGGCCTTCGCTGCCCATTGGGAATGACCTTGGGAGCTTGACAGGACAGGTTGCCTGCATGCCTTTCCTATAGATCAGTGTTTCCCAAAGTGTGGTACGCGTACCCCCAGGGGTACGGGGAGAGTTTGGTGGGGGTACACGTTGCACCGGAGTTTGGTGGGGATGTGCACTGCACCGTGCTTAGCTGCGCCTAATTCTACGTTCTCATGAGTACGAGGGGTACTCAGCGTTTCGAAAATTATAGAAGGGGTACACATATGTCAAAAGTTTGGGAAACACTGCTACAGATTGTCATTTAATTGGCCTGAGATGTGGCCTGGGCATCAGGACTTTTAAAAACTCTTCAGGTTATTGTAAAGTTTAGCCAAAGGTGAGTACCTGTGTTCTAGAGTGTTTAAGAAATATAGGCAATCATATTTAAATATTCTGTGTATGTATGCATGCATATATATTGTTATATATGCATGTAACAAATATGTATAAATATATGTACATTACATACATATTCTTTTTACAAATACAGGGTTGTGGTAAATGATTATTCCTTATTTGCTTTTTTATTTAATTTTTAAAACTGAAGAGTATATCTAGTATAGCCCTCTTTCTATGAGCAGTACATGTTTTTGAATGACAGCATAGTATTTCCTTCTGTGGTTGTACTCACTCCGATACATTCAACATATGATTTAAATATGCCTAGTAAATGTGTTTTCGATATTCATAATAGACTTGAGCTTTATTTCTGTGTTTTCCTTTGTATCCAACAGCATGTGTTTAGATCTATCTATGTTGCTTAGTTAAAATCTAGTTGGTTGTTTCCAACTCCAACATGTAAAGTTTCTAACTCCCCTTTTCTCTTCGTGAAATTTTCCATGTCAATCTTCTGAGAACACCATTTCTTTATTTATTTTTTTAATCCTCACTTGAGGATATTTTTTCATTGATTTTTTTCCCTCTAATATTTTTTAGAGTGTGGAGAGGAGGGAGGAGATAGAGAGAGGGGGAGAATATCAACATGAGACACATTGATTTGGTTGCCTCCCACACACGCCCCAACCAGGTATGAGCCCTGGACTGAGAATCGAACCTGTGACCCTTTGGTCCGATGCTGTAACCATTGAGCCCAAACCACCAGGGCCGGAGGATGCCATTTGAACTAAACTCATAATAATTCGGCTCCAGGAGCCGTTTAAATTGTTCTCACCTGCCCAGCAGCGTAGGCCCAGATATGGGGAACTGCCTGCGTAACTTATGGAAGGCTTGATTTGGAATGTTGATTCCAGCACTCACCTCAGAGGTGCAGCTTGGATTTCTCTCTCCACCTGAATCACCATAGTTGGTAAATATGCCATTGGCAACACGTTATAATGACACATGACCTTATCTGTTCAGCCTCTTTCTTCTCATAAGCTCCAAGCCCTACCAGATAGTATCTTGTTTTTGAGGCAGCCTGTAAGGCAGGGCGAGGTACAGAGTCTTCTGGCTGATTCACCACTAGAGCAATGAAGGCCCACGGCACTTAGTACTAATGCAGGGACCAGGACCCTGTTCCCCTACTCCCAGCTGTGCTTTGGCTTGAAGGTGTTACTGCTCCCCACTGCAAGACGGAGGGGTTTGTCTGTCAGACTCCCAGGGAGCTGGCCACTGGGGTGTCTGCTACTTGTGCTGCAGAGGCGGGGCCGAGACCCTGCAGGCCAGCTCAGCCCGAACACCAACTCACGATTGGGTGTGTCTGCAGGGGACTCAGTAACATCAATGACACCTTTTCCTACATGGATTCAGGTCCCTGGGCAGTGAAAGGTGAGCCTCAGGACTCTCCCTTGTGATGGGTGTGGCCCAGTTCCTGCCCTAGGGGAACTGTTGTCCAAAAGATACAATGTCCCTGCTCTCTGTCTGGAAACAGGACACACACATGAAGACATACCTGTCAGTCAGTTGATACATATATGTATGAAAATGACTCTGTCCTAAATTATTCAGATGATAGGAGGCTAGCTGAGTTCGTTAGGGTATGAAGAGAGTGTTTTCAGTTGAATGATCAGAACTCCTGGCTGCCTGAGACTAACTCACTCCTTTTGTGATAAGGATGCCTCTGTGAAGGTGGTCTGGACAAGATGGCCCAAACGAGCATGTTGGTGACGTTCTCTTACTGAGTCACAAGCAAAGTGGCTTTACCTTCCCTTCCCTGCTCTGGCTACAGGTGGACACCTATATGAATGGAGATGCCGAGAGCTTGAGGAAGACCGTGCGGGACTTGCTGGCCAAGATGCAGGAGGCAGAGCAGCGGCACCAGGCAGACCGTGTGGCTTTTGAGGTGAGACTTGGGATTTGGGGAGAAGGTGCCCCAAGGGTTGGGCTGCAGTGACTGTCTCCGTATATCTTTCTGGCTGGTGCCCTCCACTGGGAAGGCTAGGCCTGGAGGCCTGGGGCACTTCTGTCTGCTTTTCCCTCTCCTGAATGCTTAGGGTTTTTGCTGTCCAGGACTAGCCCAGAGTTCAAAGGTTGGTTAGCTCTTGATTCTCTGCTCTACGTTGTTTCACTAAGTACCGTGGTTAGGCGTTCCTGGGCTCCCGGCACCACGTAGGCAGGGACAGTTGCTGCCACATTCACCACTGCATCCCCAGCATCTGGCACAGCACCTGGCGTAGGATGGGCGCCTCGAGTGGACTAGATGAGCGGATAAACCTTGGTGGGCATAGAAGGAACTGTGCTCCTGGAGTTGGGGAACTTTGGGCTTTACTATATGGAGCTTTGTCATCATGAACGACTATCTCAATTATTGTTATAAAAGTTATACTAGGTTATCCTAGAAGATTTAAAAAATACAAGTCTATAGATAGAAGTGGAAGCCCCCCACTATGAAAGGCGTGTGAGTTCTTCCTTACCTTCCCAGAGTTCTTTGAGCATGACCTCAGGAACCCTGGGCAAACACTGGACAGTTTTTCCAACTGCCCCGTGTGAGATTGGCCATCTGTTACCTGCTGTTCATCCACATGTGAAGTATTTATGTCATAAACAGGTAATGACAGAATTACGCCCTGCCCAGACGTGCTGAGAGCTGGTGGAAAGGGGAAGGCCACCCAACTGTTCTCTTTCCTGAGCCTGAGTGTTTGGGGGGGGTGGGGGGAGTCGAGGGTGAGGAAGCCGGGCACTGAGAACGACTGGCTGCCTCTACAGTGGCTGACAGGTTATTTGAGCAAGGGATGGACCTCCTTAAGCATCAGTTTCAACTTTGGAAAAAAGTGGCCGTGAAATATATTTGACATGTGGCTTGAGTCTGATAATACATGTAAATATATGGATCACTCTAAAGCACATGTGTCAAACACAAGGCCCGCGGGCCAAATCCGTCCCGCCAGGCCTTGCAATGTGGCCCGCACCACGCTGTCATCACTGCACTCCGCTGCGTTTCCATCACAATGACAGTTTATGACTGTTCAGTAAACCATTCGGCCTGCGATTTAGGCTGGATTTTAGGTTTTGGCCCCTTCTCTGATTGAGTTCGACACCCCTACTCTAAAGGGTTTAGAAATGTAAGGTACCCTGCATTTTCCTTAGTGATCCGTTTAACAAGCAAGCTCCCCTCCTAAATAGTTTGGACTTGGGGTGGTGCTGAGATTACTTGGTCTCAGAACAGAGTCGCTGTGCGGCTGGCCACCTGTATTCAGATTCCACAGTTTGGATGATGCGGTTGGTGCTGTATCAGTTTGGCTTTCTATTTCCTTGGAGAACAGGAGGAGGGGGGGGGTTGAGGCTGCCATACTGAGCAGGCTGTGCATTTTGGAGAGAGACTTCTGCATGGAGAGGCTCTGGGAAGTTCTTTGTGGGCCATGCAGAGAGGGCTCTGTTCGCCCCGGGTTTCAAACCTGAGGCAGGTCCTGAGTAAGAGCCCGAGGCTAGAAGGCCCCTGGCAGCTATAGCTGCATGCCCATGGCTTCTTGGGAGGGGCTGTCCTTGAACCCCATGGTACATAGCACCCACCTGCGAACAGCAGGTACCCCTTGGGTTGGTCCTCTTGCGGAGGTAGGTTGGCAGAGCTGATGGAGTTACAGGAAGATGTAGCAGGGCAGTATGGTTCTCCTTCTGCTTTGTGGTCCTGCAGGGGGTAGGAGGGTTAGTCCCTCGCCTATGAATGCCATGCTTGGAGCACACACCAGCATGGTACAGTGTTTATGGACAGAAACGAGAGGCCTTGCTGCAGGTTCCTGCCCACGGGGCTGGCCTGCTCCCAGCAAATGTCGGATGTTCTCAGTCTTCGTTAACAAACTGGACTCTGGTCTACTCTTCTGTAGGCAGGAAAAGGTTGTCCATGGCCATGAAAACAACCTGCCATTAAGCCTGGCTTCTCGTTCTCCTCGCTGCTCGCTGTCAGGAGGGATTCGCAGTGAGTCTGCTCTGGACAGGGCTGGTGTGCAGCGTGGGCACGTCCTGTCACCCATCCTCCTGGGCTCCTTCTTCTCCTCCTTGGTTCTGCCTTCTCCTCCCTGGCTCTGGCTTGGGGAGGAGCTGGACAAACTGGCTTCTGGTGTTCTATTTTCCCAGGGCTGGTTAGGCTTTCCTGAGATTATCGAGGTTCTCTTAGTACCTGATTGGGGGGTCAGTGTGGGGTAACTGGGAGCATTAAATGGCTGATGAAGTAACAGGGTTCCGGCTGCGTAACGTCAACTAAGTCATTTGACCTTTAGTTGGGAAAGGAGAGGGTTGGGCTAGAGGAGCATCGGTTCCATTTGTGATTTGATGAGCTGTGACTGTGGTGGATGCCGCGCTGAGCTCTGGAAATGTGATGGACTCCATCTCTGCCATCATAAAGCTGTTGGCCTCCTGGGGGTATATATGAGCGACTGGCAAAATCTGCTCCGTGCTCTAAGAGGGAAGGGCTGGGTGTCCTCTGTGGTGTCTCCAGGCTTGGAGGCTCCCTGGAAGCAGGGGTATCTGAGCTGAGCCCGAAGGCTAACTGGGGGTTGTCAAAACCCATGTGGGAGGAAAGGAAGCAAGGTCCTACTTTACTTTTCTCTTCTTCTTTTTTTAAAAACATAGGTTTTATTGATTTTTCACATAGAGGAAGGGAGAAGGATAGAGAGTTAGAAGCATTGATGCGGGAGAAACATCGATCAGCTACCTCCTGCACACCCCCCACATGCCTTTGATCGGAATCAAACTCAGAACCCTTCAGTCTGCAGGCTGACGCTCTATCCAGTGAGCCAAACAAGCTAGGGCCCTACTTTACTTTTCACTCTAAAACTGTGCTTGATTCTTTCCAAATTACTTTATCATCTTGGATAAAAAAACAGATTCTTCCCGGTGCTGAATAGCCTTCGGTCTTCGTATGTAGGCGGCAGTGTGGCTTGAGGCGAGGCTGAGGACGAGTTGGGGAACAGAAGGGAGGGTGTGGGGAAATGTTCCCCGGGGTACTCTGTGTTTGCATTAGTGGGGGAGTCCGTGTTGGGTAACTTTGGGGGGGCCGTGGAGGACGTGGGGGATGTTGAAGACGCTAGCCTTTGGAAAGTGGTGCTCACTGCCGGGTGTTACTCTAAAGACCTTGACCCACGACGTGCCAGTGAACCCTGGAGTTAATCTGCTCGTCTCCCAAGTGGTCCTAGAACAGTGACCAAGTGCTCATCAGAGTTGCCCCCCTTCTCCTGTCACCGCACCCAGGTTCCTAGGTCCTTTTCTAAGGCTTTTGTCCACGTTTGGTCCCCCCCACTCCACCCCACCACACACACTCCATGCATCCCCATTCTGTGTCTTAGATCACCCTCAGCCGGTACCAGAGAGAAGCCGAGCAGAGCCACACGGCCCTTCGGAGAGCGGAGGACAGAGCAGAGCAGAAAGAGGTGGAAATCCGAGAGCTGCAGAGGCGCCTGCTCGGGATGGAGACGGTAACCGGGAGCCTGGCGGAGTGTCCGCTAGTGTTGGAGGGGGAAAGGCCTTTCTCTCGTCTGACCTCAGCCGGCTAGCGCTGAGCCCATTTCCATGCAGCTGGGTTCTTGCTCTGCTGCCTTATGGGCTTTTGCAGCCCGTTCTTTAAGGAGCCAGGCGGCCTGGTTTCTGAGGGACTGGCAGCCACCGCCGGCCGGTGGGCCTGGAGAGTGAGGGCCAGGCTCTCTCCCGGCAGCCAGGCGAGGCCAGGAGTTTCTGTGTGCTGCGGGAAGGGTTCTCCTTGGCCATAGAGGGTACCCCATCCAACCAGCTTGGCCTGCTGCTCTTTGGCACCGTCCCAGCGGCCGTAGGGACTGAGCCCCAGCCCTCGTGGCAATCTCACCCAAAATGCAGACTCTGCTGCCACCTCCTCATCCCGGACTTCCTTCCCTTTGGCCCCTGCAGGAGCACCAGGCCTCGCTGGAGAGGGTCAGGGAAGGGGAGGCGGCCCTGGAGGAGCTTCGGAGCAAGAATGCTGTCTGCCGAGCAGAACAGGAAAGGTAAGTGCCCTGTTCCCCGTAAGCTGGGTGCGGGAGGGGAGGGGAGGGTGGGCCGTGCTGCCTGGAGCTCCCAGGCTGGTGCTGACGTCAGATCTTCCAGCTCTGACTCACCGGGTGCCAGCTCAGGTGGGCCCGCCCAGGAGCTACTGTGTGGGAAGCTGCCGTCTCCAGGGAGTTCGTTTTCCATGGAACGATAACCTCAAAAGAGGGTTCTATGTTGAGAGCCAAGGTCAAGAGCTGGAAACGCATCTGCCGTTGCAGCACATTCTCCCACAGGCTTGTTTCTCTGGATGCGGATGGGGGGTTTTTCACACCAGTTTCCTCCCCCCAGAACAACAACTGACGGGGGGTTTCTGAGTCCTTTCCACTCTGAGGTTAGAGGGGTTTGCCTGTTCCCTCTGATCAGAGGTGGTTGGAGGCTCAGACCAGGGAGACCTACAGAGCAAATATCGGGCCATTCTGGACTTTCAGGAATTTGGAAGTTCTTTATGCTGTTGGCAATTGACTAAGATCTTCAACAGTAAATCAAGCTTAGCCTCAGCATATTGGGTCTGATCTTTATGAGTTGGACCTTTTGAAGTTCAACAGACGTGACCGGAAGGGCCTTCTAAGGAATTCCAGGGTTAAGAGACACAATCCTTGCCTTCTTGGACACCTCAGTCTGCTGGGGGCAGTTTCTCTTTTTTGGTACAACCATGAAAGGCTACGGAGAGGGTGGGAACTGGAGAGCTGAGGGTGGAAACTTAGAGTGTTTGAAAAATCTACTGGTACTGGTTTTGCCCTCTAGAACTATCCAGAATGACCTGCCACTTCTCACCTTCCTGAGCCTCAGTTTCCTCCTTTGGGCTACATGATCTCTAGTGATGCTGCCCGTATGACGTTCCCCCACCCACTCCTCAGGGCAGACCCCTGTGGAGTCAGACCCCTGCAGAGTCGGGCAGAGGGAATCACACCAGGTGGAAACGCTGATCGCAGGGCTCCTTCTGGGACTGGGTGGACAGAGTGTCTTCCCGCCCTGCCTCAGCCTCCTGCTCTCCGTCCCCAGGGCTGCTAACCTGGAAAAGGAGGTGGCCGGGTTGCGGGAGAAGATCCACCACTTGGATGACATGCTCAAGAGCCAGCAGCGGAAAGTTCGGCAAATGATAGAGCAGGTGAGCAGGGTGGGACCTCCTGCCACGGGTTACTCCCTCTGGAAGTCACTGCATTGAGTCTAGCCCTGCCTGCTTATCAAGCCTACGCTTTTATGTATGTATGTATGTATGTATGTATTCATTATTCATTCATTCATTCATTCTCCTGGAGAGCGTGGCTTAGATTTATAAGTATTCCATAGAACACATTTATGCTCCCAAGTCACAATAAACTCACTCATGTATGTGCAGAGTATCAAACCTGTGCCTCTTGGCAGACTCCCTGCCTCCCCCACCAGAGCAGGAGGGTGGCACACTCAGCATATGCCGATCTGCAGGGTTGTTTTTGCGAACTTAAGAGCCCTGTGTGGCCAGCCATGTTTGCTGCACATCGGCTCCATGAGGCTCTTTCTGCCTTGTTCCCCTCGTTGTCTACAAGGGAGCTCACCACGTAGTAAGCCCTCAATAAAGATTTTTTAAATGAGCAAAGAAGTTGTATTTCCCAAAGGCAAATGGAACAGGTTTTGGAATCATCCATTATTTGGGGTTGTCATGGTGGTGGTGTTCCCCTCACTCCCCCTGCCCCTACACCTGGGGTATTCTAGAGTTTAATATTGACTGAAATGAGGCTCTTACAGAAAAACCAAGCAAGTCACACGAATGCCATAGACACCTCCCCTGGCGGCGGGGTGAGGTTCGGTGAGTGTGGAAGGAGTCATTCTGAAATGAGCTCCAGTGTCTCCCACATGTTTGCAGCTCCAGAATTCCAAAGCTGTGATCCAGTCCAAGGACGCCAGCATCCAGGAGCTCAAGGAGAAAATGGCCTACCTGGAAGCAGAGGTGCGTGCGCCAGGCGGCCCCCCAGGGGGGAGAGGTGCTGGGGGGCGGGGGTCTCATCTAGCTGCCGCTCGGAGGTGAGTATCTGGGACAGCAGGTTCAGCTCAGAAAGCAATCTCAGAGAACCTTCCAGGAATCAGCGGTAAGACCTGTCCCCACTCTGAAGAGCTGTCCTGGCAGCAGGGCGGCAAGCCCTGCATTCTGCCTGTGGGCTCAGCAGCGGAGCTGACAGCAGAGCTGGGCTTTGCAGGAGGAGGCTTCCTAGGGGGAGTCTCTCCATGGCCAAGGTGATGGGCTCGATCAGCTAAGGAGTGCTCCCTAGTCTGACTTCCGCCTTACCCAGAGCCTTTCCTGTCCGTCAACTACCTGAAGGTTGCTTTGCAGCCACTGGGTGAAGTTCCCTTGTGGCAGGGAGACAAAAAGATGAGGGAGACAGGGCTGTTGATCTTCAGAGTTTGCAGTCTACAGTTAGAGATAGAATACATTTTTTAATTTATTCGTTTATTTTTCTTTTATATTGATTTTTTTTTTTTTTTTTTTTTTTTTTACAGAGAGGAAGGGAGAGGGAGAGAGAGTTAGAAACATTGATTGGAGAGAGAAACATCGATCAGCTGCCTCCTGCACACCCCCCACTGGGGATGTATCCGCAACCAAGGTACATGCCCTTGACCGGAATCGAACCTGGGACCTTTCAGTCCGCAAACCGATGCTCTACCACTGAGCCAAACTGGTTAGGCTAGAATACATTTTTTTAAAAAGACCTAAGGATACTTTATGGAATAACATATCAACAGGGGCGCATAGAGATCTCAACTGACTTCAGGAAATTATGTACAGGAAATGTACAGGGAGGAGATCCAGGAAATGGTCATGGTGGCACGGAGGCGTTGAGAGAACACCATTCAGGGAAGGGGGCTGGAGTCATCCCTGGAGGATGACAGCGATCTGGATTGGGTCACCCTGGTGGTGTCACCAAGGCAGGGGTGGGGCTGACGGCAGCACCAACACAGAGGTGGAGAGACCAGGACAAGCGGGTCACATGGTGAAGGACCACCCAGAAGCCGGGCGAATGCTAACCTCATCACTTGTGGCACAGAATTTAGAGATGCACGACCGGATGGAACACCTGATCGAGAAGCAGGTCAGCCACGCCAACTTCAGCACCCAGACCTGGGCCAAGACCGAGAACCTGGGCAGGTGAGTGGGCGTCGCAGCGTGGGGCCCAGGGAGGAAATGAAGGAAAGGGGGGCAGAGCCGTGACTATCGAGCACTGCGAAGGCAAGGACAGGGCTCTTTCCCATCCCAGTGTGTCCTCTCAGTCTCTAACCGGGCCCACTCTCCACCTGCACCACTTTCTGACCAGGTTAGAATAGACCTACCAAGACGCCCGGGAGGCCGACGGACAGCTAAAGGAGGGGTCTGAACCCTCTGAAATCGTATGCAACCATGCATGTGTGTAATGTGTGCATGTTTCTAGGGAGAGGGCCTTTTTCCCCCTCAAAGGATATGCAAAAAAGTCCTAGACTTTGAAGAAGAAGAAGAAAAAAAAAATCAAGAATCACAGCTATCTCGCACTTCTCAGTTGTTTAGCTGCCCCCTCTCTCTTCATCAGACCAAAGGACCCTCCCCACCCCCCCAAGTCTTCCCTTAGTTGTGACCGTTTCAAAGCATTTGGAACCCAAGGGCTCAGCCGGCGCTGAAGAGTAGAATTCCAGAGATGAAGGTAGGAGGGCAGCTCTGGGAGGGGTGGACACTGGACTCAGTGCTTCCTTCCAATTTCCTTTTCAGCGTCAGGATAGCCAAGCCCCCCGGCCCCAAGCCCATGCCTCTCATCCGAGTGGTGGAAACATGAGCTGCGGAGGAGGAGGAGGCTGCCGTTGCTGCCGCCTCTCGCCTGCGGAGACCCTGACTTTGACCTTCCTGACCGTTCCCTGGCTGCCCGCAGGGCTCGGGGCTGGGGCCCCCATTTCTGAGCTCCTGGTGGATAGAGGATGAGCGACTCCTCTGGACACCGCAGCCCTGGGCGGACCGGATCCTGCTGGCAGGAGCCAGGGCGGGACCCTATCCCCGTAGTTACTGTTTCTCTCTAGGCGGAGCCTCCCTCCTGTTGTAGGCTGGGGTTCCGCTGCCCCGGGCCCTCAGCCAGTCGGGAGAGGTGAAGCGATGACGAGATCTGCCTTGGCTCTGGAAGATGGACACGCAGATGGTGGAGAGTGTCCCCAGGGAAACCAGATTCCTCACAAAACACAGCGCAGGTCTTAGCAACACACTGTTTTTCTACCGGTTCCACCCTCTCCCCATGCTGGCCCGGGTCTCCTTCCGCTCCGACTGGCCAGCCTGACTTTCTGGGGAGCAGGGGATGTGCACTCGGGGTGTAGCTTTGAGCAGAAGGATTGTGTAGGGCCACACAGACAGTGACGTGTGACTTCTCTGCCTTGAAGACTCCCAGAATGTCTTAGGGATTCCCCGAAGATATGCTACAGGGTCCATCTCAGTCACCTGGACTGAGTCAGAGCTTAAAGTCTGTTTCCACTGGGTTATATCCATCTCAGCGAGACTCTTGTATTTATTTTGCTAAGTTATTGGTGTTTTTGCTTATATCTCACAACTGGTTCAGCGACTTGAGTTCTACAACCTTCTCTTGCGATGCTTGGATTGGCCTAACACTGGACTTCACTTCAGAAAGACATTGCTATAAATCCTTCTCTTTCCTCTACCGGCTTTTTCCTCCTTCCCCCTCCACATCTGATCGGTACCTCAGGAAGGCGAGTATGTTCGCCCTGGGACTCAGGTCTGGGTGTATGTTTGTGGGGAGAGGGTAACCAGGACTCTTGGGGGAGGAATTGAATTCTTCCCGGATCCCCTCTCTGCTTCATGTGGGTCTGTTGTCCTCCTGGCTCGGAACGTCCCTGCCATTCTAGTGTTTTGTTTAGGGCTCCTCCTATGGCATCAAGAGGGAGAAAAGCCTCCGTGGTACCACAGGGCACAGAAAAACAGAAAATAAACGTAGACGAAGTCTGTAGGTTCTCTGTGGTTCAAGGCCAGAAGCCTAAGTCTGGGTGTTGCTGTGTGTCGTTCTGGCTTTGCCTATATTGGCGTTGTGGTTTCTTCGTGCAGTCTCCTCATTTGTAAAACCAAGGGTTGAGCCCTGGCTCAGTGGATTGAGTGTCATCCCATGCACCGAGAGGTTGCTGGTTTGATTCCCGGTCAGGGCATATGCCCGCGTGGTGGGCTCGATCCCCAGTGCAGGAGGCAGCCAATCAATGCTTCTGAATCATCAATATTTCTATCATCTCTCCTTCTCCTTTCCTCTCTCTCTAAAAAAACAACAACAATAAAAACGTATTTTAAAATAAATAAATAAAACAAACCAGGGGTTCAGACTGGTTGATTTCCATGGCCTTTCCAGTTCTTATCTTTCTCCTGCGCCATCTTCTTTGTGTGGTGAATGTAACAGATTATGTTAATATGTCTCTGAGCTCCTGGCCTGATTTCACTTTGAAGGATGAGGCCCTCTCAGTGCCTCTGGAAGATGGGCACCTTGTTGACCACTTCCGGGAGCTGTGGCCCAGACATCCACTCCCTGTGGTACGAGGGCTTTGTGGCATTCAGAGGAGCTAAAAGGTCCCCGTTAAGCAGCTCCAGTCGTGGCCTGAGTCCTCGTTGTAAGGTCAACGTTACCTGTGACCCTGCCTGGGGTGGTGGCCTCGTGGGATGCCAGGCCAGGGCGCCTTTAATTGGAAAAGAACTGGTCTGAGGCCGAGATCCCGTGACAGGCATTTAGCACTCCGCCCTGGAGGCAGCTGAGTAACCAGGACTTCTGCGAAGTGAAAGGCAGTCTGGCTGCTGCTAGGTAAGGACTTCGTTTTTGACTTTCTCTGAGCATCGTCCAATGAGTCCAATGGTCTTTTTTTTTTTTTTTTTTTTTTTCTGCCAAGTAGTTGACTACAGGGCCCAACGGGGACTTAGCTGAATCTACATGAATCTCTGGACCAAAGAAATTAGAGATGCAACCCTCTTCCTCCCTGGCCCTTTCTAGCCCCCTCTCTCCTTCCACGGAAAGAGTGTAAGTTTCTCTGATAACCTCTTTTCCTCTTTCTGCTTCCCAGGTAATTCATACCCCAGGTTTCAGAAAGTACTGAAAACTCCATCCACACCTGGGTCTGCCTCCTCTGGTAGCCTGGCTTGGCGTGGCCATATCTAGGCCGTGCTTGTTTTCAGAACATGAAGAGGGTGGAAGCAGGGTGGGGTGGCCTATGGTGCCAAGAAGGCTTGTCAGGCTGGAGGGAGCCAGGAGGGAGTGGCTGTCCTACCGGAAGGGGCCGCTCTCGACCTGGGCCTCCGGGCTTGGTGGGATAAGCAGAGATTCCAGTTGGAGATAATGAAGTTCTGGAGACACTCCGGAGACTGGGATCAGCACTAAGAGCTTCCTAGTCAAAAAACAAAACAAAAAAACTGCCTCCGGTGTGTATTTCCTAGAGTTTAGTTGTATCAGCACCCAAAGGAGCAGGGGCTTGCCACCGAGGCTGAGGAGGGCCTCTGGGAGGAGTGAGGAGTCGAGGGAAAAGGAATTGACATCTTGCAACCTTTTCACTTGGAGACGGAAGAAGGATGGGGACCACAGGGCCTGAGACGGTGTGGTGAGGAGGCGGCTCCGGATCTCGGCGGCCTGTGTATGGCCCTGGTTATGCCATGTGTAAGCCAGCTCCTCTGTGCCTCTGGAATGTTCTGTGGAGGGAGACTGAGCCTGACTCCCTGGGACCTTTGCCATGGAGGCCAGGTTCTCCGAGCTGGGTGCTGAGAGCTGCCCAGACACGCAGCCACCAGCAGCCTCCTGTGAACCTGGAGCCGAAAAGCAACCTGCCTCCAAACAACTGCTCCGATCCTCCCACCTCTCCGGTTTCCTCCCCCGAGCAGAAGGGTCCCGATCGGGACATTAAAAAAAAAAAAGTATATATATATATATATATATATATATATATATATATATATATATATATATAATTGATTTTACAGAGAGGAAGGGAGAGGGAGAGAGAGTTAGAAATGATGAGAGAGAAACATCGATCAACTACCTCCTGCACACCCCCTACTGGGGATGTGCCCGCAACCAAGGCACATGCCCTTGACCAGAATCGAACCTGGAATCCTTCAGTCTGCGGGCCGATTCTCTGGGACACCAGCTGGGCATCCTGCAGCTTTACTCAGTTCTGACCTGGAGGTAGCTTCAGAGCCCACAGGTTAAGGACTTGGTCCCAGAAGACTGCCCCCCGACCCCAACTTCACACCCAATTGCAAGTAGAAGGTCCCCAGGTCCCACTACTGTCCAACCTGGCTACAGATCGGAGGCTCCCATGATCCCTCCTCGGGGCAACCAGCTCATTGAAGGATCCGATAAAGGTTACAGGTGAGCATCCGGAGGACGAAAGACATAGTGAGGTCTGGGAGGGTCCAGTGTGCAGGAGCTTCTGTCCCCGTGGGATCCGGCTGTCACCTTCCCAAGGTGGGTGTGTTCCCAACTCGGAAGCTCTCTAACTAACCCTCATGCCATTGGGATTGTAGGGAGGCCTCCTCAGGTGGGCATGATCAATGAGTAACCATTTCCAGCCCTCCCCCCTCTCTGGAGGATAGGGGCTGGGGCTGGACATTCCCAGGTTCTAATCATGGCTTGTTTTTTTTTTTGTTTTTTTGGTGACCAGCCCCCATCCAGATCCCACCTAGAGTCTCCTCAACAAAAGATGCTCCTAGAACAAAACCAGTCATGGCTGCCCTCAGGCCCAGGTGCATGGAATAATGACCACCACCACCACCACCACCACCACCACCCCCGCCCTGGTGCCGGCCAATCAACCAGTGGAGACCACATCCCTGAAAGGACACACCTGCAAGGCTACTGAATATTTTATTGAGATCTTTCCCTGGGCTCAGTGGTTGAGCTTCATCCCATAAAGCAGGAGGCCACAATTCGTTTCTATGCCCAGGTTGCAGCTTCATCTTGTTTGGGGCATGCAGGAGGCAGCCAGTCAATGGTTCTCATCATTTATGTTTCTATCTCTCCCTTTCCCTTATCTCTCTGGAATCAATAATATATATATATATACATATATATATATATATATATATATATATATATATATATATATATATATATATATATCTATCCCTGGGACCTTTTCTAACATCTCCATCCTTAAAACCTTTAAGATGGAGGATCCCTGCCGAAACCGGTTTGACTCGGTGGATAGAGCGTCGGTCTACGGACTCAGGGGTCCCAGGTTCGATTCTGGTCCAGGGCATGTACCTTGGTTGTGGGCACATCCCCAGTAGTGGGTGTGCAGGAGGCAGCTGGTCGATGTTTCTCTTTCATCGATGTTTCTAGCTCTCTGTCTCTCTCCCTTCCTCTCTGTAAAAAATCAATAAAATAAAATAAAAAAAGATGGAGGGCCCTGTCCCTCTTCCTTCAGGGAGTATGCCCCTGCCTTTCCTTTCCCTCTCCATTTCCCTTTTCTTTCTCCTCTCCCCCCCACCTCCCCCCAAAAAGAAAAAAAGAAAAAAAAGATCCTCCTACTGCCTTGCCACTTAAATTATGAGAGTTTTAGGAGGCCTGTGTCAGGAACCAGGGGCAGAGACTGATCTGCAGCTTTCCTATTATCTCACACCTGGCCTACAGCACAGACCTCGACTAACTCCTGGTCTCCCCTATTCAATCTCTCTCACTCAGCTAAACATTTTTATTTTATTTTATTTTTAATCCTCACTCAAGGATATGCTTTTATTGATTTTTATTTTTAAAGAGAGAAGAAAGGAGAGAGAGAGAGAAACATCCATTGGTTGCCCTGACCAGGAATCAAAACCACACAACCTTCTGGTGTACGAGACGACACTCTACCCAACTGAGCCAGCTGGCCAGGGCTCAGGCTAGAACTTTTATAGTCATCTTGGACGGTTCTCTTCATTCCTTTGTCCCTTATATCCCGCTTGTCAACACGTCCTAATTTTGAAATCTCTCTCGGGCTTGCCCCTTTCCACGTTCACAGCCTTGTCTTGGACAGTCTTTCAGCTTGGATTACCTCAGAAGCCAGTCCCCACGGGTGCCTCACCGTCTGGTCTAACCTGCCCCAGATCTACCCTCCTCACCACAGCCATTTGAATCTTCCCCAAATACTGCTGTCATACTATCCATTGGGCTTGTTTAGCCAGACAAAGGAAGGCTGATGGAAAACCTGATAGCAGGTGGCAAAACAATGGAAATTTGTCCTGTGGAGGGACCAGCAGTTTTATCTGTCTAACGCCAGAGGTCATAACTCAGTCCTGTAGGGAGGCAGCTCAGAAAACAGGAATGCCTTGACCACTAGTGTCCATTGGACTGTCGTCACGTTAGCAAGTCTTCCTATATACCCCCGTAACATCCCAGTGAGAAAACAACTGAAAATGGAAAATACGCAGAAATAACCTTTATTGGAAGGTGAATGGTCTATGTGAAGACAATGACGAGATTTGGTTGAGAAATATGGAAAACGTCAAGAAGAAAACCTTCCCTGGGTGGCAAAGTTCAAGTTGTAAAGATGTCAATTCCTCCTTGATTTATTTTTAGGCTTCGTGTAATGACAGTAAAAATCCCAATAGAGTCTTTTTAGAGTTGGACATGGTTATTTTTAAACTCATCTGGAAGAATAAACAGGGGAGATGGCAAAGAGCATTTTGAAGATGGCTTAATTGGCAGGAGTGTTAGTCTTGCCCACGGGGGGAGGGGGGACAGGGGGGGCACGTAAAAGCATTATCCAGTTTGTACATCAATTTAACAGATTGGTAGGCAGAAATAGACCCAAGTTCATATAAGCATTTTAAAAGGACAAAAGAAGCATTGCAACTAGTGGGGGGAAATGCATTAGAACAGTTGGTCAAAATGTTAAAAACAGCCAAAACCAGTTTGGCTCAGTGGATAGAGCGCCGGCCTGCGGATTGAAGGGTCCCAGGTTCGATTCCGATCAAGG